TAGGACTGTCAAAATGGGAACAAATGTATATCTCAGAATTGAGGGAATATGGTATGTTTAACCTTAATAGTTGTTTCTACAGAGAATGAGGAAGAATTAAAGACTATTGACTCATGCCACCAAATGGATGCGCCTCGAAAACATTATGGTAAGTGAAAGAAGCCAGATGCAAAAGACAATGCACTGCATGATTCCATTTACGTGAAATGTCCAGAAAGGCAAATCTGTGCAGACACAAAGTAGATTAGGGGTTGTCTGGGACATAGGAATTGACTACAAATGGGCACAGGGGATCTTTCTGGACTGACGGAAACATTCTAAAATTTGATTGTAGTATGGTTATACAATTCTGTAAATTTTTCTAAAAATCATTACATTGTATATTTAGCATGAGTGAACTTTACAGAATGTAAGTTAGACCTCAATAAGGCTCTTAAAAAAAGATTTTGCTGGGCAAGGTGGTGCATGCCTGTGGTCCCAGCTACTCAGGAAGCTGAGGCAGGAGGATCTCTTGAGCCCAGGAGTTTGAGGCTGCAGTGAGCTGTTGATTGCGTCACTGCACTCCAGCCTGGGCGACAGAGAGAGACCTCAGTGGCTCTTGGGTGTCCCACACCACCAAGGCATGAGAGATTGTAAGGCTTACATGGTAGAAGGGGCACCCATGCTTCTTTGATGCTGTCATTCATTTGTGTTTGGGGGCCTGAGTCCTGAGATGCCAGTTGGTCTTCCACCCTGAAACCAGGGGAGTGACTGCTACTTGGTTCACTGCCATCCCATCCACCTCAAAGTGCCAACTGGCAAAGAGCTGCAATGCCCACGTCTTGGGCTTATGTACGGGTAGTTCAGACAGTACACACCATTTCTTCCACAGCAAACTCCTCACTGATGTAGCCCGACAGAGTCCGGGCCGGGGGTGGCAGCCATTTTTACAGCCTCAAGACGCTGGGTACTTTAAGAGGAAAAAGGGAGAAGAAGAAAGGGACTAGGTCCAGGGTCTCTGTTTTAATTTACTGAATTCACACGAAAATAAGAAAACCTGCTCAGCAAATTGCTGATCCAAAAGGTATTTCAAAGGGAGTGTTAAACCTACTTATAAACATCCACTGGAAACACCCAATGAAATCCCGGGATAGATATTCTACATGTAACCCATTCATACTGTCATTAGAGGAAGCCAGTGAAATTTCAAATTGTAAACCCAATTTAAATTGCCCTCCCTCTTTTATTTTAACATAGTTACAACTGAATTTCTTTACAAAGGTTAAGTTCCTAACAACGATCTGAAGGAGAGATGTTTTTCTATCACATTCGCAGAAGTGCTCAATCTTAATTCTGCAAATCTTAATAAACTCAGAATAATTGTTTCTAAATTCGTGCATCTCACACCAGCCACCATACACTAAAAATCTGCAATCTAGACCTCATTATTTGGGGATTCATAACTGAAGGGCCCCATCACTGAAAGCATTTATTAAAATCATCTACTGAGTAAAACAGAGGCAATTTTGGAAGCAAAACCAAAATAACTTTCTAAACACTCCCTATACCACTTTATATTCAAACAATATGCTAATTATCAGAAATCTTATCATTAAAAATCACTGTTTAATTTGAAAGTACTGAAAATGATTTCTTTACATATCCTATAATTTCTAATTAGCTTTTCATTAACTTGGATAAAAACCTCTTTTTATAGCCTTTAAAATAGTGGCTTTCACATTTTTTGATCAAAGGATCCCTTTTAAACTCTTAAAAAAATTATTGCTGTACCAGGCAGCCTGACCCTGACCTAAGGTAAATTCCCACAAGTCTTTCCTGGGTTTTGAATTTGCAATAACAGGTGTGAGCATTTTAGCAGCAGTTTGATGATCACATATGATACTGCAAACAGGACAAAAAAACAAAACAAAACAAAACCACTGAGGACCCTTAAAGAGTTATTGTTTATTGTAGGTTCTATCTATCTATATTATCTTTAGTAAAAATTAAAACTGAAAAAAAATTTAAATGTTAATTACTCCATTTTAAAAAATAAGCTCATTACATGTTAATATGTATCTTTTCAAAAAACTAAACATGCTTGTGTTTTTAAAAAATTAGTAAGAAGGGTAGTGCTGTTTTACATGTTGCAGTGGGCTCTTCAGATATCTGCAGTCATTTTTCTTTGATACTACATCACAACTCAACGAGCGGTGGTAGTTTCTTGAAGGTTAGCTGGAATGTAGACTCTGAAATCACATCAATAAACCTTTCCATCTCTGCTATGTTAAAATCTATTGGTCTATCTGACACAGTATCAAATCACATTTGTTAGTGGATCTCATCAGAAAAGTCTTTAAATATTGGTAAGTTGTCAAGTTCACTGCGGTGGATACAAACTTCCCAAAATCTTAATTTTCATTTGAAAGCTCAAATGTTATCTTTGGCGACAAATAATGTCTTTCGTTTTCCTTGATGTGACAGGCTCACTGTGTTCATTTTCAACATGCACTCTAGATTCAAGATGTAATAAAACTTATAAAGGACATTCTTGGCTTTACTGATTCTTTTTTTAAAAACTGTGTGCATTTGAGTAGCAGAACTACTGCTTTGCATACTAAGGCATCAGCAGTTTTACCCCATTGCTTTCGCACCACCAGTGTGAATGTAAACATAGTGCAAAAGGCAAATCATGTCTCAGTATTGTAATGACAATAATTTTGACCCTGTCAACCCATTAAAAGGATACCAAGGAACCCCTAGGGGTTCACAGGCCACATTTTGAAAATTGTCATGTTACCATAACTGATGCCCCAACTGCCATTCAAATCGCTAAAAGGCAGACATCAATTTAGAAAAGGAAAGTGACTGCTACTTCTTTTTCAGGTGTATTACTGACCCATCAACCATTAATATAATTAGAAGGCTACTACTTCTAGCCGGATTTCAATATGGTAGCACAAAAAATGAAATCTAGTTACCAAGGAAGGATAAAAGAAACTAAACTTAATATGTAAATTTCCCCCCCAGGAATCTAAAACATGAATTTTCTTTAATTGATCCACTTGCTCCCATATTTGCTGTGCTTTTATGTGTAGGTGCTTGCTTGAAAGAGATACGGAGAGTCTCAGGGTGACAGATCCTGTGGCCAGGGTTCACAGGGTGTTAGGCAGCCAGGAAAAGAGCAGAGGCATTCAAGTCAGACAGATCTCATTTCAAGTTCCAGGTACCTAATCTACATGTCGCTTGTCCTCTGTGATCTCTGAGCCTGTTTTCTTAGTTGGATATGGGGCAAATTCCACTTAAAACAGAAACTAGTTGAAATGCATGTAAAACATTTAGTTCAGCTCCCAGCCCACAGCAGACATTCAATAAATGGAAGCCACTATATGCATAAGGTCTCCCAGAGGCGATCAGAGTCCGGAGGGGAGGGGACACACATCCAAATAATCATGACACAGCATGGGAGCTGATTAACCACAAAATACAATGGGAGTAAAAGAGAAAAATCAAGGGTCTGCTTAAATGAGGAAGGTGCTGTAACAGAGGAGCCTCTGTCTCAAGGAAGAGAAGTGGGTGCAGTGGTACAGGAGGAAAGAAAAAGAAAGAGCATCAGATATGCAAAGTGGGCAGAGACTGGACCGGTGGAGCCAAGGGGATTTGGCAGAACCCAAGAGAAAAACACCTGGAACCAGGCCACTTAGGGCCTTTAATGCCATGCTAAGGGGCACAAACATTTAAAGCAATTTTTAGATTATTATTATTGTACAGACTAAGGAATTATAAACTCTCAGTGCTAGCAGGTTATCTGGTCTTCTGCCATCCCTCTATCCCCCTAATACACACACATTATACTTACCCCTTGTTCTGACCCATTAGCCATCCCCCAGCCCAAGCTTACTAGTGGACAAGGAAGGAGTCCTCTCGGAGGTTGCCGAACATCAGCAAAGCTCCAACAGCCAGGAGGAATTTGCCCATGTTGTTTCAAACCATGAATGAAGTATATACGGGTTGAGTATACCTTATCTGAAATGCTTGAGACCGGAAGTGTTCCGGATTTCAGATTTTTTTGGATTTTAGGATGTAGTTTTGTGTCGTTTACCAATGGGACACTTCCTGCAAAATGCAGTTAGGCAATTTTGTCATTGTGCAAATGTCATAGCATGTACTTACACAAACCTAGATGTACAGCCTACTACACACCTAGGCTATATGGCATAGCCTATTGCTCCTAGGCTACAAACCTATACAGCATGTTACTGTACTGAGTACTGTAGACAATTGTAACAATGGTCAGTATTTGTATACTCAAACATAGAAAAGTTATAGTAAAAATACATTATTATCACCTTATGGGAACACTATCCTATATGCGGTCTGTTGACTGAAATGGCATTACGTGGCACATGACTATATTTGCATCATACCTACTGGCTCAATAGGTATCATCTGAAAATCTAAAGTCTAAAATGCTCCAATGAGCATTTCCTTTGAGCATCATGTCAGTGCTCAAGAAGTTTCAGGGCATTTCGAATTTCAGATTTTCAGATTAGTGATACTCAATCTGTACTGAGCAAAGCCGTGTTATATCCTCTCAAAATCTTGAGGCATGTAACTTTATCTTCACCCCAGCTCCAGGTCCTATGCTCCAGTGGAATTTATAGGTTGCTTTGTTTAATGGGGCGAGGAGAAACAGTAAAGAGGTATCAGTCCCCTCCCTGTTTTCCACGGTGACACTTGTTATCTCTAGTTATGAGTCACTGCATGAGTGAGCCCCGAAGCCCAAAGAGGCCCCCCATCTTTCTTGCCCTTTGGCAGGGACGGTGAATGCCACCTGGATACACCGTGTTCACGTACGAGGCCAGCATGAGGACAGTAATCCTGTGATCCCTTGGTAAGTCTATAAAGGAAACACAGGTGTAGTCGGTGTAAATCCACGGCCAGCTGTGCTGCACCGCACTCACGTAAGAGATGTGACCATTAGACAATAACCATGGAAATCACAACAATGTCTTACTCACCCAGAATTTTACGAGGAAGAAGGCATTTTGAGGGCCCTTTCCAAACAGTTCCTTTAAGCCACCTTTCTTTTCAGGAAATTTGTCATAAATCTGACGAATGTCCACTGATTCGAGCAATGGGTCACTGTAAGAATGGTTGGCATGCCCAATGTGCACGAAGAGGTGTTTGTTGTACTGTAAGAAGAAATCAACAGAAACATTTCCATTACAAACCCTTTGATCAAGCTGGACTCATCCATCTTGAACTGGATAAAGAGCAGTAAGTCTAGAAATTCTGAAATTAGGCCTTGAACAGCCTACGGTCTACGTCTTTGAAAAAATGAATATGTTAAGAAAAGCCGTTATAACTCAAGGTTAAAACGATCACTGTCTTTGATTGACAAGGGCACATATTTTCCCAAATGGCTAAAAAAGGCTTTTTGTACACATAGTAATAAACGACAGCTCAGGATGTCCAACTACCAAACCAAGAAACAACCGTTACCCAATTTCACTCGACTCAGCTGAAAATGACAGCAACACTCTTTGGAGCCATTTCTTACAGTGTAAGCCCAGTAAGACATATATGTGCAGTTAGCTAATATCGTCCCCCATAAGGCACTCCTCGCCCCAGCTCCCCTAGCAACAGTGTGGATGCAGCGGTCTGAGCAATGGTACCCACTTCCTTCTTCCAGCAAGAGTAGAGAATGCTGAGTTTCTTTGTCACCAGTCACCTTAGTAACCAACCCAAAACTTCTGTGTAAGAGCTGGTCAACATGTGGTTGCCAGTATAAAACTAAGATCAGGGTACAGATCATGGAGAAGATCTATAAGGCCATATGTGGCCAGTGAAAAAGAACACAGGTCACTCATTCACAAAAAAAAAAAGAAAACAAATAAAAAATCCCAAACCACATTAAGTCATTTAACTTGCAAAGGACACCCATTCCTCCCTTTGCTTTGGTATAAGACATGGTAAAACTGCAGCAAAAAGGAGCATGTCCCAACCAACAATTTTCAGCTCAGTCTGCACTGGAATCACCAACGAGCATTTAAAAATCACTATTGCCTGGGCACAAGCCAGACTAAACTGGAATCTCTGATAATGAGGCCAGCCATCAGTAATTTTTAAAGCTGGAAACGTATCATACCAAAACCATGGGATGATGACTAGTGATGTTGACCAATTTTAACCTGCAGAATGATAGAAAATATTCACAAGCTATACATTCGATAAAGGGCTAATAACCAGAATCTACAAACGAACTAAAGCACACCAGCAAGAAAAAAAAAAAAAAATCAAACAACCCCATTAAAAAGTGGGCAAAAGACATGAACATAAGCTTTCCAAAAGAAGACAGGCAAATGGCCAAGAAACAGAGTGATATCTTTATCAAGTCTTCAAAAACTCAAAAAGGTATCAGGTGATGTGAAAAAGAGAAACCTATCAAGCTCTTACGTGGACCCAGCCACATGGGTTAGCTGGCTGGTGGATTTCAGATAAGATTGAGAACCTGTTAACTACTATAGAAAAGGGTATGCTTGTGCTAGAAGAAATTAGGAAAAAAAAAAAGGTAAAAAGTGAAAGCCACTGTGTTAGGGAGGTGAGACTATGGGGGTATGCAGGAATGCCTTTGGTCTTTAATTTTCTCAAATGTTGTCACCTCATCTTTTCAACTATATGCAAACAAAAGCCCACGAAAATGTATGAGGTACAGTCCTGGCTGCTAAGGAGCTTCCAGTCTCATTAATGGCAAAAGGAGAACAAATAACACAGGCAAAGTTGGGCACAGACGCTGGTATAGAGGCAATCAGTTTGAAAAGATGAATGTGGGTTCATGCCTCATGTCCAGCTCCTCTGTTCAGTCTCTGGTTACCCACCATTACAGAAGCTGAGGGCAAAAGGCGATGTTCCTTCATTATCCAGACAACTGGACGTCTTTGTGGCCATCCATCTAATTCTCATTAATGACCTCTGCTTGCAGCTAGCTCTCAGCCCTACCCAGTTCTGGGAGGTACCATTTCTGTAGCTCTAGTGCCTTCTGCAGGCAGTGCATTTATGGGAAAGAATGGAATGCAAGCAGAGCCTGGGGGCCCCCATGAACTCAATCTGAGTCTTCCAGCTGGGCTCCTCACCCTGCCTCGCCAGCTGCCCACAGACCAGGCCAGAGCTAGGGAGAAGTTAAGAAGCTGGGAAACTTGAAGTCTTTTCGCTCTTGACATTGCAATGCCCCCGGACTGTGCTGTTGGAAATAGGGACCACAGCCCTGACCTCTGCAGTTCTAGAGGCAGGAAGGTGAACAGAGGGTAAACTTCACCACATGTAGATGGGGGCCATGAAGGTACAGCTGAAAAGCAAGGGCTGGGGACAAAGCACAAAAATTCTGGAGCCAGACGCAAACCTGAAATCTCAAGCCTTCTCATATGCAGAATGGGGATATATATTAACAATACATGTTACACAGCACCATTCTGAAGATGAAAGGAAACAGTGCACAGAAGGTGCTTGGCATAGGGCCTGACATATAAAAAGTGTTCAATAAATCGTAGCTGCCAAGATTACTATAGTTATGGTTTATTATCATGTGAGATTAACTAGATCCTGGGGTAGAAGCAAAAAACCGTTCCTACTTTAGCTATCCCTCCTGCCTAGCAAAGAAAAAATAAACACAGATAGCCAAGAGCTGGAAGCAAGTTGTAGAGCCGTGTGACTGTTCAAATCCTCGATTATGGCCCACTCACCACCGGCTGCCCAGGGCGTGGGCCCCTTACCCATCTGTGCCTGGAGAACTTGTGTCCGCTCAACGCTGTGAGCAATATGCTTTTAATATATCTGACCTCAGGTAATCCCTGCCTCATGATGACACTGTAGGTGGATTTCATTTAAATCATTTTACAGATGAGGAAATAGAAGCTTAGAGATGACTTGCCTGAGGTCACACATCCAGGAATAGTCCTGGAGTTAAGAATAAAACTTGGATCTGTCAACACCACAGCCCTTGCTTGTGTTTGCTGCAAACATCAGCCACACTGTCTTTCAGAAGAAAATGCCTAAGCCCTTCTTTTTCTAAAAGTTGATTTGAGAAGGGGGGAAAAAAAAGCTAAACAGTATTTTCAAAGGTCCATGAAACTAAATTAAAATTCAGGAAAAACATAATGATTCACAAATGCATCAGATAGAGTCCTCAAAGGTTTCTATTTTGAGGAAGTTACCTCTGTGCCCAAGTGGCTGAACAGAGAAGGGGCTGGCTGTCTTGGCCAAAGGAAATCGGCACTGCCTTGCCAAGGCTGGTGACTTGAAACCGAACCCTGACCATTGGCATCTGAGTGGCTTTACTCCTGCCAAGAGGTGGTGACTTTGTTTCTAAGAATACAAAGGACTACAGAAGGTGTCCTGGAGACCACAGCATTGAAACAAACAGACCTCCCTGTCTCCTTAATTCAACCTGAGTAGGTCAGGAATCCATCTGCCCCTAAATCCAAAGGGCTGAAAAGAAAAAAAATCTACCTGATATGTTTGGGTTCAAGTTTTAATGAAATTAAAACTCTAAAAACCATTAGGTGAGGCTCTAACCACTTCCCATCTGTCAGTTCTCCTTATAAGGGAAGAAGGCTAGGGTGGATTCCTCATTTGTCTCCCTCTTTCCCAAATAAATCCCATCTTCTCTCCACTAGTGGTGGTTTCCCTAAAACTAAAGATGGCACACAAAAACAAAAAAAGCGGCAATTCTGGCCGGGTGCGGTGGCTCACGCCTGTAATCCTAGCACTCTGGGAGGCCGAGGCGGGCGGATTGTTTGAGCTCAGGAGTTCGAAACCAGCCTGAGCAAGAGCGAGACCCCATCTCTACTAAAAATAGAAAGAAATTAATTGGACAACTAAAAATATATAGAAAAAAAAATTAGCCGGGCATGGTGGTGCATGCCTGTAGTCCCAGCTACTCAGGAGGCTGAGGCAGAAGGATTGCTTGAGCCCAGGAGTTTGAGGTTGCTGTGAGCTAGGATGACGCCACGGCACTCTAGCCCGGACAACACAGTGAGACTCTGTCTCAAAAAAAAAAAAAAAAAAAAACGGCAATTCCATTCCACAGAGCAGAAAACAAATACACACGCAAAAAAACCAAAACCCAAGTATTTGAGGCAACATATGAGTGGAAACAGGGCAAATGTCGGTGAGTTATGTATCCCAAGCACAAGATTATATTTCTTCAATATCCCAAACAGAGCTTCTTTGACTCATCCAGAAAAAGTACCCCGAGGTACTCAGCAGAGGCACACACAACTGATCAACATACCAAGGGCAACAACAGAAAAGGTACTCACTCTGCGTATTTCTTTTATGGATTTTAGTAGAACAAACCAGCATACCTACCACCCATTATATGCCAGGCACTGTGCCAGGCACAGGGAATACATCAGCTAACAACACAAAGTGCCTGTCTTTACAGAACCTACAGAGTGACTGTATGGAACTAGCTTGCTGCCTCTACAGCTAGAATCACGTTGCCCAAATAAATATATGCTCCCTTAGTTCCTACAGAGAAGAGCGGGATAGAGACAGTCAACACCATCTCTCCTGCACATCACATGAATTAAATCAGCATTTACCTGCTCTTTGTAAAAGAATGACCTTATTCTCCAGCATTAAACACACAGTATTATTCATTGGCAAGGAGAAAATATTAATATGTGGAATTCACCTAGAAAATGACAATGAAGAGTTCTGCAAGTCTAACACCAAGTCACCTATGACATGTGAGAGTAGAATACACTCTCAGAAACATAAGGTTTCAGAACATCGACCTTCCTTGCAGCTTTTCTCAGGTAGCCATCTACAGGGGGATATGTTCTTATAAAATGAGGGAGTAAACCCAAAAAAGAGGGAGATGGGGTCTAACACAGAAGAAAAGGAAAGAAACTAGCCAGGTCTACAGCTGGCCGCTGACCGTGACAGCAACCAGTCCAGAGTGGACGTGGAGCTGAGGACTCCCGGAGGGATCTCACCAGGAGAATGGGCCTGAGAAATGCCCTGATTTACCTACCATCTGGAGAAGGGTGTTAGAGTTCTGTTAGAAGCGCTGAGGATGAATTTATGTAGTTATGTAAAAACTGAACAAATAAAAAAAAAGAGGCAACCACATACCTCTTTGTAAACTTTTGTAAAAGTTTTACAATTAAGAAAATGGTTCTAACGTTTA